TTATATGGTTATTAGGTTTGCGATCGATAATTGCGACTCGGGGAGCTTCGAGGTGACCGTTTCATTTTTTTTCTTGCACCGCAAGCGAAATTTAACGCGACAGGAATAAATGCCTTGGGATGACTCGTGGGTGATTTCGGCTTCGGACTTTCCTTATCGGTCTTCGAATTTCCATCGTCCCTACTAAAAAGGCGAGACTGAATAGCGTACAGGTGTTCGTCGCCGACACTACGCGAGTCCTCGATTCTCCTCTCCTATTTTGGTCTCCCGTTCCTTCGGATGTGTCCCATGAAATACCCGATAAAATCACCGGCCAGAGACACGTTCCCGGTTTCCCTCCACGTCCGTACCGATCGCGCTTTCGCTTCTGTCTCTTCGATGGAAAATGCGTGGATCTACAATGCCCATCACGTTCCGAGGGAAACGTTCCTTCGGTTTTGTTGTAATAGTTACACCACCCGGGGCAGCCTTCATATCAGCGTTTATTTCCGCGCATCTCGTCCCGGCTTATCACACAGAGACTCCACTCTTCGTTAAACATTACTTTCTAAGCCTCGGCTTGGTCGTTGAAAACCTTTAAGACCAGCACCAAATCGAGACAAATGCAATATTGATTAATTTTACGTTAATTTTTATCATCCAACATTCAACCGCCCTTAAAGGATGTCCAGGGTCGAGGGGCGGTTCACTTAAAAATTAGTGAAAACTATTTCCTTCTTTGAGAACCGGTTGCTTTTTATTCCACATGTTAAATAATGCCATTTGGTAACAAAGGATTGCTTTTGATTTCACGTGTCAAACAATGTTATTTGGTAACGAGGGACGATTGGCTTCAAAATTGGGACATCGTTTCTGGGATTTTCAACGATATCCAGTCATTCTTTTTCTTGCGATTTCCAGATGATTTCGAGAATTAAGATTCACGTGATTTTGAGCATTAACATTCACATGATTTTAAGTATTAAAATTCACGTGATTTTAAGTATTCAAATTCACGTGATTTTAAGTATTCAAATTCACGTGATTTTAAGCATTAACATTCACATATTCTCGAACATTAAACGTCACGTGCTTTTGAGCATTAAAATCCACGTGATATTGAGCATTAACATTGACGCGATTTCGAATATTAAAATTCTCATGATATTAAGCATTAAAATCGACGTGATGTTGAGCATTAACATTCACATCCATTCGAGCATTTGAATTAACGTGATTTTGAGCACTGAAATTCACATGATTTTGAGCATCAACGCATATTATCGAGTATTAAAATCCACGTGATTTTTAGTATTAACATTCACATATTTTCAAGCATTAAAATTCACGTGCTTTATTGTAAACGTAAAATTCTCAACAACTTTATGCTACAACGGGGAAATTAATATATTATTTCTTAAAAATATTCTCATGTGTGCTAGATTTAATATTAAATAATCCCAAGTCGAATGAATTTCGAGCATAAGCGTTAAATTAATTAGTCCGTACAAATGTTTACGTGTTTACATGTGCCCTAAAAGCCGTTTTTGTAATGCGGATGCATATATCCTGGATCTGCGGCCATATTGAAAACGTAAATTCTCAACAATTTTGTGCTACAAGTGGCAAATTAATTTATTATTAATTAAACTTATTCTATATTCATATGTGCTAAAAGACGTTTATAACCAGATGCTGTATATCAGACACTCGCGGTATTCCTCATGTTGGAAGCGTAATTTACTGGCTTTCTAGGTTTTTCTATGGTGGACTACTTGGTTTACGTAATTACGCCAGAAACCTCGAAAAACGAGAAATTACCCAACCTTGGTAATGTCCAGGTCGCTACCACTTCGCCCATTATGGCGAACACCCACGTGAATGGTAGACTTGTACCACCTTAATGATCAACGGTAGGGATCTGTTGAATAAACGATCGGCACTAAACGGGGAAAAAATAACGACGAGACTTGGTGACACTCGATTATCTCGCCAAGTTGACCCTGATTAATGAACCGCGAATGGAGAACGATTGGAAGATGGACAATTGGCTTCGCTCGCGGACCCGAGTCGAATAATTTTATTTTGCACAAGCTTCGTAAACGCACCAACGAACGGCGTTAATGAAATTGGTCCCATTTAAACCCCGAATATACATTTATGTTTGTTTTTTAGGGTCGAGGTCCTAACAAGCGTTAAAGCAGACGCGGTTAAACCTTGGAAATGTCCATTTTCAAGTATTCGATCGAGCCTCAACATCTTTTCCTTCATCCCTGCCGCTAAAAATGGAGCTCTACATAAATTATTAATATAAATTACAGTACTAAATTGAACAAATTTAAGATTCCACTTTTCACGAATGCAATGACGCAATGAACTCCCCATTTACGATGTATTTTTCAATTAGTCGTACTCCATGTTTTCTCCAATGATAAGTACACTGATAAAAATGCCCATGTAAATTTACGTACTCAACTATTGGTTATTTTGATGCCACAATAAATTACAATAAATATACAATGTCACGTGTAATTATACATTTTCTAATTTGTCATTTTTCCACTTTAGGGTTTTTCTACGTAAACCTTCATTTATCAGGTATGTAACATTGTAAATAAATTTCCATAAACTTTTAAAAATAGAGTAATCATGAAAATCCTGTTCTGAAATTGATCAAGTTTTGAGCCTATTGAAACGTTCCTAGAATTTTGAGATTATGATTTGAACAAAAAAAATGAACTCTGAGGATCTTATAGTGAAGTGAACAGTGAAATTATTGTCGGTAATTATATGGTTATTAGGTTTGCGATCGATAATTGCGACTCGGGGAGCTTCGAGGTGACCGTTTCATTTTTTTTCTTGCACCGCAAGCGAAATTTAACGCGACAGGAATAAATGCCTTGGGATGACTCGTGGGTGATTTCGGCTTCGGACTTTCCTTATCGGTCTTCGAATTTCCATCGTCCCTACTAAAAAGGCGAGACTGAATAGCGTACAGGTGTTCGTCGCCGACACTACGCGAGTCCTCGATTCTCCTCTCCTATTTTGGTCTCCCGTTCCTTCGGATGTGTCCCATGAAATACCCGATAAAATCACCGGCCAGAGACACGTTCCCGGTTTCCCTCCACGTCCGTACCGATCGCGCTTTCGCTTCTGTCTCTTCGATGGAAAATGCGTGGATCTACAATGCCCATCACGTTCCGAGGGAAACGTTCCTTCGGTTTTGTTGTAATAGTTACACCACCCGGGGCAGCCTTCATATCAGCGTTTATTTCCGCGCATCTCGTCCCGGCTTATCACACAGAGACTCCACTCTTCGTTAAACATTACTTTCTAAGCCTCGGCTTGGTCGTTGAAAACCTTTAAGACCAGCACCAAATCGAGACAAATGCAATATTGATTAATTTTACGTTAATTTTTATCATCCAACATTCAACCGCCCTTAAAGGATGTCCAGGGTCGAGGGGCGGTTCACTTAAAAATTAGTGAAAACTATTTCCTTCTTTGAGAACCGGTTGCTTTTTATTCCACATGTTAAATAATGCCATTTGGTAACAAAGGATTGCTTTTGATTTCACGTGTCAAACAATGTTATTTGGTAACGAGGGACGATTGGCTTCAAAATTGGGACATCGTTTCTGGGATTTTCAACGATATCCAGTCATTCTTTTTCTTGCGATTTCCAGATGATTTCGAGAATTAAGATTCACGTGATTTTGAGCATTAACATTCACATGATTTTAAGTATTAAAATTCACGTGATTTTAAGTATTCAAATTCACGTGATTTTAAGTATTCAAATTCACGTGATTTTAAGCATTAACATTCACATATTCTCGAACATTAAACGTCACGTGCTTTTGAGCATTAAAATCCACGTGATATTGAGCATTAACATTGACGCGATTTCGAATATTAAAATTCTCATGATATTAAGCATTAAAATCGACGTGATGTTGAGCATTAACATTCACATCCATTCGAGCATTTGAATTAACGTGATTTTGAGCACTGAAATTCACATGATTTTGAGCATCAACGCATATTATCGAGTATTAAAATCCACGTGATTTTTAGTATTAACATTCACATATTTTCAAGCATTAAAATTCACGTGCTTTTGAGCATTAAAATCCACGTGATATTAAGCAATAAAATTCAGGTGCTTTTGAGCATTAAAATCCACGTGATATTAAGCAATAAAATTCAGGTGCTTTTGAGCATTAAAATCCACGTGATATTGAGCATTAACATTGACGCGATTTCGAATATTGAAATTTTCATGACATTAAGCATTCTAATCGACGTAATTTTGAGCATTAACGTTCACATACATTCGAGCATTAAAAGTCACGTGCTTTTAAGCATCAAGACCCACGTAATTTTGAGCATTAACGTTCACATACATTCGAGCATTAAAAGTCACGTGATTCTGAGCATTAACGTCCCCGCGATTTCTAATATTAAAATTCTCATGAAATTGAACATTAAAATCTACGTGATTTTGAGCATAATATCGAGGATAAAAATCCCCGACTTCCTAGGTGAAGAACCCCTCGTGTCAGATTCAGACAACAGCGCATCTCCGCGAATTCCCAGCGGCCGAAAACGGGTTAAAATCTGTTAAACCGCGATTTCTAATATTAAACATCTCATGACATTAAGCATTAAAATCTACGTGATTCTGAGCATAATATCGCGGATAAAAATTCCCGACTTCCTAGGTGAAGAATCCCTCGTGTCGGATTCGGACAACTGCGCATCTCCGCAAATTCCCAGCGGCCGAAAACGGGTTAAAATCTGTTAAACCGCGATTTCTAATATTAAACGTCACATGACATTAAGCATTAAAATCTACGTGATTCTGAGCATAATATCGCGGATAAAAATTCCCGACTTCCTAGGTGAAGAACCCCTCGTGTCAGATTCGGACAACTGCGTATCTCCGCAAATTCCCAGCGGCCGAAAACGGGTTAAAATCTGTTAAACCGCATGAAAGCTGAAAACAAAGGATTACTCACCACCCCCTGGAGGCACTGTCCTTATATTCCGACACCGAAAATCCGAACATGGAGTTCTTCTCCTGGCGATACATGGTGAAGTGCCTGGTCTCCACGTTGAAGCTTTCGACGCCAAAGCCGGCCAGCAGGGCCAACAGCCCTACCAGTAAATTCCCGATCCACATTTCGAAAGTTCACTTTAAACCTTTGATGAAATTCTCGTGACGATTAATTAAATTACCGGCTCCTCTTGGGTCCTCGGTTTTTCGAGGCGACGTGGGCTTTTGGACGAGTGTCATTTATCGCCAGTGGGTCGAGCTCGTGGACGCGGTGTTCGGCCGAGTCCTCAGGACTCGCACGCCTTCGGGGAGGACATGTGCCTGATGGTCTTACAGGACCCAAGTCACACACGGGAAGCCTTGACGATCTCGGCTTGACGGACGGCCGCGGACAGACTGAGTGGAAGTCCGTTCTTTCAGCTCCGAGTGGCTCCCACCCACCACCGGTTCAAAGTTAACCGGGCTATCGCGGGACGCTGTATAGGCACTTTGTGTACGCCCGGTCTATACACTGCACTGTACCCAGAGGGTGTACACCCTAGATATTACATAACTGAATTGGGTATTTCCTGTACCCTCTTAGTGGTCCTGGAAACCGATTTTTAAATTGTTTAAGGTGAAGTGAAACCCCCTTCAAATCAGTCGATTTAAATACACCTTTTTTTTAAGGATATTAGATCAAACTGTCCGAAACATTGACACATCACTCCTGATCGTCTAAGAATTGTCCTGTCACATTCAAAGATTTGGATTTTTAGAAAGAAATATTTTAACTTAGCCCACACCAGAACCAAAATGCCGTCGAGCTCTCATATTTCGATCAATATACAATTATCGAAGGCTCTGATATGAGAACCGAAAGGGTCAGGACAATTTTACGACGATTTAGAACACTCTGGTAGTCGACAAACTCGCATTTGAACGGGATAAAGGCAAAAAAAGTGTTGTATGCGCTTCTATGCTAAAACGATGGTAATACGAGGTCTCGGAGTGAAAATTTAATTGACCTGGAAATCACAGATGGCGCAGGGGGTCCCTCTGCAGTCAATTAGGGCCCCGGAAAGCTTAATCCAGAGGATTTCTGGAGTTTTAATTCGATTTCTTTATAATTATTGTACAAAAACGACAGGTGGAGTATGCCATTTGATGCAATACCCAATATAATTTGACACAGCTGTCGATATAAAAACGAACGTCGGCAACATAGGCATTTAAAAAAATCATCTTTATCGACGTCGATCAAGTTCCTCGACGTGTTTCACTTCACCTTAAGGCTGAGAAGCGGGGTAAATACGAATCTCTGCGGATTTTCTCAACTTCCATCCCCTTAACCCCTTGCCTTACGATTTAAATTCCAATAGCGCGTGCCATGAACAACAAAAATGTCGGTCATGCATCGAGCCATTTTCACGGTTGGCTGAACGTTCAAAGACTCACACGTCTCTTGTACATTTTGTTTAGGTTTGGCCCGATTGATATATTACGTCTCTCACACGTTTTCTTCACGTTTGGTCCGATTGATATGCCACGTCTCTAACAAGACATTGTAGGTGAAGAGGTTAAGGGGATATGAAAATGCGATATATACGTAACAAGTGAAAATATTTAAAAAAATTTTCCTGCAAACTCGCTGCGCCGAATTGTCTGAAACTTTAACACGTGATTACGGAGGCCCTAAGGAAATTTCTTTTTTCGAAATATATTTTGTATCTATCGGAGAAGAACCAAAAAAAGATATTCTCTTCTCGAAAGATGAAATTTCACGGGCAGCGCGTTATTCCTTAGAGCCTTCATTAATCACGTGTTAAAGTTTTAGATAATTTGGTGTACCCAGTTTGGAGAAAAGTTTTATAAACATTTTCACTTTTTGTTATGTATATATCACACTTTCGTACCATTTTAAGCACGATGCATATTCATGTGCTATTTCGTATTTTTTGTATATATACCCAGAAATATAAACTCGGTTTACCTTGAAACTTCGACATTCGAATTGTAATCTTACAAAGGAATACAAAGCATGTTTACGTTAATTATTTGCGACAACGTAAACATTTCAGGGAAATTAATTTTGTAAAAAGTCACGCACAGATTTGGAGATATTAATGGAAGTTGTAATTACTTTTAACTTGGTGAAGCTTAGAAATATCGAGTATTATTTGAAATTTGTCTGAATTTCATTTGATTCAGTCTAGCTTATTTTGTTAGGTTTTTAATAACCCGTAAAGATGTATTTTCTTTCTTCTAAAATATCATACTTAAGTTAATGATTTGCGACAACGTAAACATTTCAGGGAAATTAATTTTGTAGAAAAGTCATGCACAGATTTGGAGATATTAATGGAAATTGTAATTACTTTTAACTTGGTGAAGGTTAGAAATATCGAGTATTATTTGAAATTTATCTGAATTTCATTTGATTCAGTCTAGCTTATTTTGTTAGGTTTTTAATAACCCGTAAAGATGTATTTTCTTTCTTCTAGAAAATGGTGTAGGGGTTTTAAAGGTGAGCCATCACGCGAATGTTGTTTTAAATATGTAGACAATGGATTTTTACGAGAAATGTCAGGCTTTCGGGTCGCAAACTCTTGACTTTTCGACAGTCCAGACTGCATCTGTTAGCCATCGGTCGAATCGGCGAGGGGTGCATAATTCGCAGGGGAACTCAAGGGAGCGAAAAGTTTGCTGACCATATGACTCGCTTAAGGTCCGAGGGGACACGCGAAGATTTATAGCCTGCTTGCCTTGACGCCGGTCCTGCACGAAAATATTCGATCCGTGGACACATGGGAACATCATGTCAACGTAACAAATTTAGTCTCTCCACTGAAGAAACAGTTAAAAAATGATACCCCCGAAATACGCGTTAATGTCCGTATTACATCTTATTCCAGCCATAAAATGAGAAATGAATATATATTACTTCGAAGAAATGACAGTAACACAATCGTAAGATTATTTCCATTCTCAATAAATCTGTAGAAAGTTGTTTACCTTGCTTCATTGAAACAGATATTCGTTAATCTGTTTATTGCTGTACTTCTTGGTATGAGATGAATACTCGTTTGTTACATTTGCTTAACTTTTATAGGATAACAAAGATGATTCGTTATTTCTGTCTCTTTAAATTGATCAGTAGTTAGTGAAAAAAATAGTGGCGCCATCTATCCAGGAATATAGAAACTGTTGACCAAATTGTCCCACAATGATGTGGCTCTATCTGGTGGGGTCAACGCAAACTGGTCGCCGGGGAGTTTACCTTCACTGCCGATCTCTACGGTTGGTAAGACCGCGAATTCGAACAAGAAACTTCTGAATTGCCGTCAGAAAATAATTTTAGTTCGGAAAGTAAATTGTTCCCTAGGGGTACGCCCGACTGCCCACGATTACAAAAATGTTCCTTTAGGATTCAAATTAATTAGACCGCGCTTAGGAATCCGGATAAATGTGCAATAACTGCCCATGATGATTTTACCAAAAATGGCTGCTTCCAGGTGATCCACCTAAATCTGCAAAGGGGCACAAAAGTACAGGTAAAACGGAACATTGAAGAAACACCAGTAAGTCGCCAGATTCTCCGAAGTGGCCCATCTAAAGCTGAAAGGAAACACGAAGGCACAAACGAAACCATTGGAAAGCGAG